ATCAATCTTCTCTAACAAACTTCAAGACTTACCTTAATAAAGTCCGTTCTTTCTCCATCTTGCATTGTTAGTTATCATGCATTGATTTTTTTTTTAACTTTATTAGAAGGAAAATTTATAGTATTTATTGCCAAAAAAATTTCTGGGGATCACATGACAAAAAATATTAAATCCATTTAACGAAATGAGAAAATCTTTGCATCCAAAAAAAAAGAAAAGAAAAGAAGAGGTTTAGGTCTTCATGTAATTGTGGAAGTTAATGCCTCTCTCCTTGCTAAACAAGTCTGGCGAGTCATTACTGCTCCTCCTGACTCTACTTGTCAGCATTCTCCAATTTAAATATGTCAACAAAAATCCATCAGGTATACTTGGCATGCACTCCAATGCATCTTGGATGTGGAAGGGTATTTTGAAATCTAAACGTCTTGTCTTAGATCACATCAAATGGAAAATTGGAAAAGGATTTAATATTCCATTAAAAACCATCTTCTTTGGTGGCTGAGGCAGGCAATACCCTTAGATGGATCTTATCTTTTTCTTAATAATTAGTCCTATTATGCATAATTCCTTAAAGTCGAACAAATCAAGAGTTCTTGAATTGTAGCTCGTCGAATCAGTAAATCAAATATTGGCTGCTCCTTCTTCTTTTTTCAATGAAGACAATGTTATTTGTTGCAAAATTGAAAAAACAGGTTGGCCCAGCACTTGACAAGCTTGAAATTAAAAGAACTAATCTATTTAAGCTTAAATTTTATTTGAGATGCTTATATATGAAGTTCGGCCCTAAGCATAATGGGCTTAGGGTCAGCCCTATCGACTTCGAGTCCTTTTACTTTTTTAAAATAACAAATAATTCATTCATTCTACTATACATAAAATCTTATTCCAATATCAAATTATATAGACAACATCTTGCTTCTTAATATCTTGATTATGCAAAAATTTCTTATTTCAAATAATAAAACATTAAAATTTATAAATTCTCAATTCAAGTCATACGGTACAAATTAAATAAATTTAAGAATACTCTATTATTAAAAAAATATAAATTTTAAAATATTAATGCACATACGTAACATGAATCACATTATTGTCTAAAATCTAAAGTAGATAAAACAATTACTTTTTTGTCCAAACAAATTATTTTCTACAATTAAACAAACCAAACTTTTATTCAAAAAATATTAAACAAACCATGGTTTTATGTAAATTTTAATTATAAAAAAACTACTATAACAACTAAATATTTGAAATATTATCAAGAATATCGATGATATTACCATACTAAATAATATTTTAAAATATAAATAAATAAATAAGCTAAACAAGCTGGCCCATCTCAACCCATTAGGATTGGCCCTTATAAGTTTGTGTTTTGTTTTGACGTTTTAAAATTCAAGCTTGACCTTTGTAATTATTGGTCATAAACAGGTCGACCTTATGGGCTCGACTTGTTTTGTTGGGACAAGCATCCTAGTGAGCAATACTCTTCCAAATCTACCTCTCTTTATCAAAATTCCCTATCTTTTGCCTTTGTGATGTTTGGATAAGACCACTTTGCAACTAAGTAAGGCTTGATGTTGATGGGTCATATAAAGATGGGATTGGTAAATGTGAAGGTGTTGTAAGAGATCATAATGCTAATTAAATATGGGGCTTTAACATGAATATGGGTAATTATCCTTTGCTATTATTAAAGTGATTAGTATTATTTATGGTCTTTAAATATGTTGAGAAAGGAAATTTCACATGTACAGTCTATACGGATTGTGTTGAGATGATCAACTTGATTACTAGAAGTGATATTACTCACCACTTATTAGAAAAATTATCAACCAAGCTAGAATTTATTTTTATTTAGACCCTTAGGCTCAAAATGATTTTGTATGTTACATTATTTTTATCAACTTCCACCTTATTGTATTAAGATGGTGGATGGTGAACGAAGATTGTCCGATAGACTTGACTATAGCTTGCAATTACTTTTGATTAAGGATCTATCTTCATTAAAAAGGAAAAAAAAAAAAAAAAACTCCTCATCTTCTCCTGAAAATTCTGCACAAACCAATGAGGGATATCCTTTCCCACCATCACCCTAACAACAGCACTCGTGTACTTGGTTGCTCTTCTCAGGAAACCTTGGATCATGTTTTATTGCATTGTCATCAAACCTCTTGATTGGCCTCTCTGCATCTTCAAACACACATCACGAGGTTCAAAATTCATTCCATACATATAGGTCGATCCTCATACACCACGATTTCAAATGGGATCTACTTTCTGCCATTAATTTTTTTAATCATGTTTATGTTTTCTTTTTCCGTTGTTATTGTTTACGTTTTTGTTTGAAACAGTAAGCCATATCCAGTCATCCACCATGGACGGCCAACTATTGTTACTTTGTCTTTTTAATATAATCGTTATCGTTATTCTGCAAAGAAAAAAAAAAAAAGAGTTATTCACCGTCTGACTGTGCTTTCAAACGCAGATTAATGGCATGTCAGAGGAATTTGCAACAATAACAATCTCATACAATGAAAGTTTAAATTAGTTTGCATAAGACATGATAATACCAAGTTTCTAAGATACAAGGTGATGGAATTAAAGAGAATGGTATTAACTGAGAGGCATCCTTGCTATTAAGGAGAATTATATTAAAGTTTTTCATAAAAAAATTAGGGTTAAGGTATAATTTTATTTTTAAACTATTATCGAAAGATTAATGTTGCTCCTAAACTAATGAAATTGGAACAATGTTGCCGTTGCCGTTTAAACATCCATTATTATTGTAGTTAGTAAAACTCACTTTTCATGAGTTAAGGTATAATTTTGCCCTTAACCTATTCACAAGAGAACAATGTTGCCTTCATCATTTAAAAATTATAAAATTAAATAAAAATAAAATAATATTAAATGTATATATAAAATAAATATAAGAAAAATATAAATTATAATTTTATAACTTGTCAAATACAAGTGGATCTTAGTTAAATTAAATATGAGTAAAGTCAAAATTATTTGCATTTACACCTATAACTATCAACATTTTTATAAAAAAATAGTTTCAAATCATATTTTATACATGTGAATTATTCAAAAATAAAATTAACTTTTAGTAGGATTTAATTTTTTTTAATTTTTTTTTTAAATTGTTTAAGCATTTCTTTATATTATGTTTAAAATTGTCTGTTTTTTGAAAACCACTATGATTCTCAGTTTAACTTTAGTTTTTGGTTTAATAGCAGCTTAACTTTTGTCTAATCCAACTCAATCATAAAAATAATTTTTTGATCCAAACCAAGTCATTAACGATAGCTCCGGTCAATAGTTATGGGTACAATTAAAAATACTTTTGAATTTATTTATATCTAAATATCTAATTTAACTAAAATCTACTTATGACAAGTTATAAAATTATAATTTATATTTTTTCTTATATTTATTTTTATATATACATTTAATATTATTATAATTTTATTTTTATAATTTTTAAATGGTGAGGGCAACATTGTTCCTCTAAAAATAGTTTAGGGGCAAAATTACACCTTAACTCATGTAAAGTGGGTCTCACTAACTACAATAACAGACGTTTAAAACTGCAAGGGCAACATTGCTCTGATTTAATTAATTTATTGACAACATTGCTATTATGAATAGTTTAAAGGCAACATTGCTACTTTGAGAATAGTTGAAGGGTAAAATTACATCTTAACCCAAAAAATTATATCTTTAGTTAAGCTGTTAGTGAATTTTGTAATAATTAATTTCTTTGTAAGAGACTTATATGTAATTTTCTCTTGAGAAAATTGGTGAAAAGGACATTATTGAGAGGAAAATTAGTTCTAAGGACCAAATGCAAGATTTTATTCGTTAAAAAATATGTACAAAAGAACAAAATACCCTTCTTTAAACCAATGAAATTGAAAAAAAAAATTATCTGTTCAACGTATACACTCCAAGCCAGAAGTCTTGCACCTAAATTAGAAACCTTGCACCTGTAACAGTTCTCACCTCACCCCACTGGGAGTCTTTTGGATTGGGCCAACCCACATTATTGTAGCAGAAGTCAGCTTTCCTCAAGGTGGTACTTGAATTATTCCTCATCCCATTAAAGAGGTCTTTTGGAGCTTTCCCAAACTCGAACTTCCAACCTTCACCACCTTAAGGAAGTTGAGGTTAAGTTTAGTACCATTGAGTCAACTTTCTTAAGGTGGTGAAGGTTGGAGGTTCGAGTCTGCGAAGGCTTCAAAAGACCTCTTTAGTAGGGTGAAGAATAACCCAAATATCATATTGAGGAAAGTTGGCTTCCACTGTAGTGATGTGGGTTCGCCTAGTCCAAAAGACCCCTGATGGGGTGGGTAAAGACTATTACGTAAAAGGCACTTAACTTAATGGTATTAGACTTAGACTCAAGTTCCTCAAAGTCGTATAGGTTGGAGGTTTGGGTTTGAAAATGCTTCAAAATACCTATTTGGTTGGGTGAGAAATAACTCAAGTATCACATTAAAGAAAGTTGGCTTCCATTGTAGTGATGTGGGTTTGCCCATTCTAAAAGACCCCTAATGGAATGAGATGAGGACTGTTATAGTACCCATACCCAATCTAGAAGCCTCGCACCCCCAACCTAGAAGCCTAGCACCTAACCCAAAAGCCTCGCATCCAAGTCAAAAACTTTATACTCCCAGTCAGAAGCCTTGCACCCTAAGCCAATTTGACTGCAAAGCTTTTAGCTTAGGGTGCATGTGTTGAAAATAAAACTTTTATTTTTATTCAATTTTATTGATTTAAAGAGAGAGATATTTTAATTATTTATACATATTTTTAATAAATAAAACATTACATCTGGTTCTTGAGATTAATTTTTTTTTTAATTAAGATCTTTTTCACCAATTTTTCCTTTTCTTTTTCTATTATTCGAAGCTGCTAGGAAGACGTACTCTCCGTCTGATCCATCGAACGGCTGAAAGCTTCGCTCATTCAGTTGCACTTTGAGACGCTTAATTCAGGCGATCTGTATCGGAGAATCAAAAGGTCTCTGCTTCGGTTCGTGGTTGAGCGAGGAGATAGGCATCGGAATGGTGCGCGCAGCGAAGAAGGTGGAACCAAGTGGGGAGCCAAACCCGGAAGCGATAGGGCGCAAGAGGCTCAAAGGTTTGGCCTTTTCTAACAACTTACTCTCTGAGACGCCTGCCAACAGCCACCTTCATCTCAAGCCTTCCAAGACAGTGGTTAAGCATCACGGCTCAGACATTCTCAGGAAATCTCAGAGAAAGAACAGGTTCTTATTCTCCTTTCCGGGCCTCATTGCTCCCACTGGCGGCGGAAAGATTGGCGAGCTTAAGGATTTGGGAACTAAAAACCCCATTCTGTACCTCGATTTCCCTCAGGTTCTACTTTTCTTTGTTAGACCCACTCTTGAGGTTTTGATTTATATATGTACTATGTTATGGATTCTAAGTGATGATAGGATATTAGTAACTAGTCAACAGAAAAAGAAAATAGTTGCATGGGAATTGACTGACACTTTTGAGGACGTTCTGCAAGTGTGATTTTGTTAACCTTCTATTTGCATTACGATTTGTGATTGCAAATTTCCACTCTCGATATATTCCCGGTCCCATGGTCTCTTCTGTTCATTTCGGTTTTTGCACAAATCGTTTTGAAAGGGAGAAAACCCTGTTCAATAGAACTGTGAAATTCAGGCTTGTGCCAATATGATTCTACACGATTAAGCTTTGAAGCACTTGTACTTTTGAAACAGTGGTCATTTTATGTTCAACTGTTTGCTTGCTTTCGCTCTAATTTTGGAGCAATGTTCAAACTCGTGAATCCTGGGAAGTATGAGAGTGGCTCTGTTTTGATTGTAACAATATGCAATTTCATGTTGTAATCAATTTCTGCCTTTTTCCTTTTCAGGGCCGAATGAAGTTATTTGGGACTATTGTATATCCGAAGAGCAGATACCTGACTTTACAGTTTTCTAGAAGCGGAAAGAATGCAATGTGCGAAGATTATTTTGACAATATGGTTGGTTTTCCCCTTCCTAATTATTTGCATTTTGTTTTGAGACTTTAATTAGAGCAAAGCAACCATATACTTCTGATTGATGTATCAACCGTAAGGGAACTGATTAGTTTGACAATAGTTGAAAGAGAATAAAATGATTTGAAAATAGAGAACAGGAAGAGAGACTTATAAATCAGATTCCATCAATACAAAATTACACATAACGATCAACAATGATCTGTTTTATGGCTATATTAGAGTCCGTTAGAATTTCAACTCACTCTCTTAACTGCTATGATGTTATTAACTACTATTAACTCACTCAGCTACTTCTACATTCATGGGTTGCCTAACAATACTTCCCCCTGTAAAGCTGTTGACTTCAAGGATCACTATTGTATTACAAAAATCAGGTATTCGTTGAAAATCAAAAAGCTGGACCTGAATAGCATCTAGAAAGCCCTATAGATTTTGGACATTGTATTTTAAAAACCCAGTCATATCCATCTAAAGGGATAATTGAAGCATCTGTGCTAAATTTTGTGAGTGGCGTTAACTAAGGCCTGTTTCTGTTATTTTTAGATTCTACTATTAAGTAGTTTGCTTGAAATTTTTTTTATTTCTTTTAAAGTTTGTGCTTTGATTGTGATTTTCATGTCTATGCTTATGATAGGTTTCGAACCTATGTTTTATTTAATCTTTCTCCCCTCTATTATATCCCTGTTTTGGTTTTGCTACAGTAAGCATTCCTCCCTTTTCCTCTTGTGACTTGTCGGTCAAGGACTAAAAGTAACATGCGTCTCTTTTCACTTCTTCAATTCCAAACTTTGTACCTTCTGGAATTGGAAAAATGGTCATTTATACTTACATTCCTTATTGACAATATAATGAATTTACCAGATTGTATTTTCGGATGCATGGTGGATTGGGACAAAAGATGGGAATCCAGAAGAAGCCAGACTTGAATTTCCTAAGGAATTGTATGAGGTCAGTACATTTTAAAATGCTAGATTGCAACTTTTGCTTTTCTAGTTTGGCATAGTGAGAGAATGAAGTATCTTTTGTGATTTAACTGTACATTTCAGGGACAACCAGCTGAATATGACTTTAAAGGTGGTGCAGGTTCTGCATCTGTAGTTAATCCGGTTGTTCCCAAAACCAGGATGCAATGTGCTGAGCAACAATCGCCAAAGACACCTGCTGAGGATGATCTATCAGACAGTGAAAACAACAACAAAGGTACTAAGGAGGTGGTTCCAGTTCGACACTCAGAGAGAACCCCAAGAAAATCATACAAGTAATAGCCTTCTTTTCCACATAAGATTACTTTTTATCTGTTGCCTTCCTGCCCTGCGCTCAATATTATGCCTACTTATATTTTAGTCTTGAGTTAAGAAGCACTGAGGTAAGTATGAGCATTGGGTATAACAAGATACAGGATAAGCAACTTCTAATATTTTAAGATATGTGTATAGAATACATGCGTTCAACAAATTAACACATGACTAAACTTCAAAGTGTATAATATTATCTTGTTGAAGTTAAATTTTATGTCACCTGTGATTTAAACTTCAAAGCGTCAGTCATTTAACTTTTCTTATTGGTTTAGACTTGCAGATGCCTCTAGTGATGAATCTCCTGAAAGCAGCCCGGATCTCTCTGAACATGAAGAAAAAGTAAGTTATTACTGCTGCCAATGATCATCATATTATAAACATCTTTATAATTGGTTAGCTAGCGGTGCTCAGTTTCGTTTTATTTCCTTTGGAATTTGATATTTTTGATAACTAATCGACCTCAAATTTTAGAACTTCATTGACCATACAGTATATATTTTATGTGCAACTATATGTTACCTTCCTTAATTCACTGATATAGAAAGAAAGTCCATGCATGGTGATCGGTGATGTTAAGGAGGATGCTGTAGAAGAAATTCAGGTCCCTAAGGAAAATAAAAAGTTGGCTTCAGGATCTACGTCTAAAAAGGTCTCTCAAGTTTCTTCAACATCTGCAGCTAAGGAAGTTTCCAGCGGCAATTGTGGTTCACTTGTCCAAGCTACTTTATCCACATTATTCAAAAAGGTGGAAGAAAAGGTAAGCTTTTGCTTCAAATTTTGGCATGGGAAAAATGCAGAGAATTGTTGAAGACAAATTTTAGGATACTCCAATTCCCCTTGTATATTATATGTTTTTGCAACTTCTATTTTGGTTACCAATCTTTGGTTATTCTCTTAAAAGTTCACACAAGTTTTCAGTTTTCTGGTTTCTATATTCTTTTGGATGATTTAAGGATACATTTACTCAATAGTGCATAGGTTTTGGTGGGATATATGAGGACCAAAAAGTATAAATAGTGTCATACTTGTGATAGTTTTACTTCTGATCTAAGTACGGTCATGCATGCGATATCAACCTGGGTCTTGTATGGGTATATAGCTAAGCAATCCTTTATGGGAAGCTGTAAGCATTGACAGAAAGTGCCATGCATTCTGCATTTGTTCCATGATCTGCATTGTAATTCATAAGACATTCACAGGTGATATTTCTTCAGTCGTAACAGTGTTTTCTCACAGGTGTGTTCTTTTGTGATTTTGTCTAATCTATAGGGTCAGTTTTGGGTGATCATTTATCAGGTTTCCATATTTAAAAAAAAAAAAAAATTTCTTAAACACATGGAATTTGTGTTCTGTTATTTGCCTTACGGAGAGGGCATCAAGACGCATTTTAAAACAATGGAGCCCATGTTTGCTGTGGTTTGCAAATCATTGAATCTGTAATAATTCAATTTTAAGGTCAAAATTTTTATCTATATTAAGGGAATACTGATTAAAGATATGGACATCTCCAAATATTGTGTACCAGTCAGTCTTGGAAAATGGATTGATCTTTTGAACAGGATAACTAAAATGTAGAGCTTTAAATAGATATTAGAAAAGAAAAATAGAAAACAAGGGGCTATTGTTCTGCCTGACTGGACTATTGTAAACCACCCTACATTGCTTGAGTCTGCAAAAGCATAATCTTCAAACTTGAAATTATGCTATAATTTGTTATTTTTCTTATTCGGCCTTTCAAACAGGAGAAAAGTAGATCATCAATGTGCATCTTCTGTCTATTGGACAACCTTAGCGCTTCATTCCAATTATCTTGCGTTCTAATGACATAAATTCAATATACTGCTCAGTACGTTGAGATATTGGTCGGATTGATTGACTCTCTAAACTCTTCCATTTTCAGAAGGCTCCAAGAATCCGGAAGAAACTTCCATCATCAAAAGGTAGTTAGTTTAAGCATTTTTAGGTAGTTATATTATGGGAATTGGATCATTAAAGTTATTCATGTTTTCCAGATTCCACCAAAAAGTTGCAGAATGCTGGTTCAAAAAGGAACATAGATCTGGTTCTTCTTCTTCTTCAACTAGTTTTCTGAATCTCTTTCACTTTGTTTCGGGAGAAGTTTTCCTTTAATGCCCTTAGTGCTTCACATTAAGATAGAATACAAGCTGAGGTCTTTTTGGCTTTTGTCACAGGAGGAAGGATCCAAGAAAAGAGTAAAACAGAGCAAAGACAATGATCCTGGTTACCATTCTCTCTCCCTCTCCTCCTTCTAAATGTTTATGGTACAGAATTAATTTAAAAAATAAAACTCTTAGATCAGAATAAAATATAAAACCTGTGGCTAGTTGCAGTGTTCACAAGTTGTCAACAATTCGTCTCATTTCTTAGGCTCAGCATAATGCATGGGACCCCCGCATGGTTTTTAACCTAAATATGTGAATGCATCTTCGGGTATTTGCCTGACCAAGCATAAAAAAGAGACTTATTGATCATTGGCGCCTGTATGGCTAGGTTTAATGTGCACCAGGCGATCAAACACTAAATGGGGATCAACAAGTGGTGAAATTTTAGAATTCATGGATGTAGACTGCTCCTGCTTCTGTCAGCATTATCGAGTCATCATTAAGTGTTTGATAAATTTCTAATTTTAATTTGGATATTATATTTGGAAAAGAAACTGTAGATCCGTTTAAGATTTGGCATCGTACTTGATCAATGGATTGAAGTCCTGTTTTGCTGGCAGTTTCAACGGCAGTAAAGAAACTTGTTTCTGATTCTGATGGAACAACCTTCAAATCTCCAGTTCAGGAGAAGAAACTAGTAGTGCTTTGTTTGATATGTTCTGGACTGGATATCCATCTAAAAAAATGTGAATAGATCTGGATCTAGCCTTCCAATGCATTGAATGCGTTTTATGTTTTTGGCGTGTCTAAAATGTTGAATTTTTTTTTTTTAAACAATGATCAAAACTTCTGTTTTGTTAATAAGTAATTTCATTTATCAAACTATGACAGGTTTGCTCATCGTGTTTTTATTTTGTAGGTGGAAATAAGGCACCGAAGGGTAAAAAACGCAAGGTATATTTTTCTTGTTCTCGAAAGTCTAGAGGTTTCTTAGTAGGGGTTTAGTAGTGATTTCTTTTAGTGGGTTCTTATGGTTGTTCTTTATTCATTTCGTGACGCTGCATTAAATTAAGACGACGAATAAGTTGGTACAGACTTGGTCCCTGCTTGACTTTACATAAGGAATTTGCAGTAAATTTCACGGATGCTTTGTTTCTCTCGAGTAATTTGACATTGTACCAATAAAATTTAGGTTGAAGATGAAGTTGATGACATTGAAGAAGTTTCAAGTGATTCAGAGGTAATTGTCCTTGTCACATGCATTAACATTCAAATACGTAAAGACAGGCTTTTACGATTACAAGCACAAAAATTCAGTTTTCAAGTAGTGTTAAATACCTGGGCATATTTTTATTGAATGATCTGATATATATATTTGAAGAACTTGGCAATCTCATACACCTATATTCATCTTGCTGTTATTAATTATTATACCAATTTGCTGTCATGGCTCTTTTTTACATAGGATATGGATGAAAGCGACGAAGATTGGACTGCTTGAGCTTATGATCTGGATTGTAGAGATGATGCCACAAGTTCAAGCAAGTCAAGTGATGCTATTTCCCTTGCTAAAATTGTCGACTCTGATGGCTAGAGAAGGCTGAAACGCCTTTCATGCACAAGTTCGTGCTTGAGAAGTGACATATCATTGTGGCATGATGAAGAATGAGTTGAAATGATTGACAGAAAAAATGGAGATGTGTGGAGGGTTGAAGGAAGTTTTACTGTGGAGAATCAAATCTGTTGTATCAATGATAGGGGCAAGGTTTTAGTTTACTATTTGTAAATTAAGCAATTTCTTTCTAACAAGCATCATGGGTATGCGTTCGAGATTGTTTTATAATATCCTGGCACTTCTATGGCATTATAAAATAGTTAAAGCATACATTTAATTTTTTTAATTTTACACAATATTTCATTTTAATTCTTTAACTTTATAAAGTGTTTTTTAGTCCTTTAATTCTAACATCGTTAGTTTTATCTCAACAAATTTTTATATTAAATTTTTAAATATTGATAAAACATTTTAAATGTTGACATATTAAGTTCTGTTTTTTTTAATTATAATGATTGATGTAAAAAATAATTATTTGAAATCGACAATGTTAGGGTTAGAGGGTTAAAAAGATATTTTATAAAATTAAAGTATGAAATTGAAATTTTATATAAAGTTAAAAGATTAAAAGTATGTTTTAGTTTTACAAAATTAATTTTTAGAATGCTCTTATTTTGATATATATATAAAAAAAAAAAAAAAATAATAGATATGTTAGTTTTGTGAATATAAAAAATACCGAATAAGGCTTTAAATGATTTTTTAATTATCTTGTAAGCGTTTTACCAGACATTATCATATATTTTACCTTCGCAAAATCCATAGACTGAAGAATAATCATGTAATCCAGCATTTTCACAAAAATAAAAAAAAAGAAATATAAAGATACTCAGCTCATAAAAAATACTTTCTTTGTCTCAAATTATAAGACTTTTAGAGAAGATTTAGTATTCCAGAATAGAAAACACTTTGATAAAAATAAAATTTTATTAATGATACTTTTTAATATTATCCTTTCCATATATTTTCTCTCTTTAATATTCTTTCATCAATGGAGTGTTAAAAGAAGGACATTTTTAAAAATTTATATTTTTATCTTGAAAAAATAAAATTATAAAGTATATTTAATGAATTTTATTAACATATGAAATTTTATCTAATAGTATTTTATAATTTGAAATGGAGGTAGTATTACTTTGAGTTATTAACATTGACAAGAGCTCATACCTTCACGTACATTCTCCAACTAGAAACTAGAATTAGAGAGCTCAATGCAATTCCTATAATAACCCATTATACATTACACTAATGACTGAACTTCATCCCAACTCACCATAAGGAAGCATACTTTTCTGGTGTAAGATAATAACCGGTAACTATTTTACGCAAACCTACGTTTGCTTTGCAAAAGTTTTGAAGGTGAAGATTTACAAGGCAGTAATAAACTAAAGGCTTTGAACAAGACATTAATTTGAAGCCAAAACTACACCTCTAATGACCTAAGAAAGTATCAACCCTGTCATTCGTTGCCCTGGACAAGAACTTCATGCAAATCGGTGGCTTAACTCCAGCAAGAGCAAGTATTGAAGCAGGCAGAGTCCATATCCCATCCCCACAGATCAAACCAGAAGCTACTGCAGGACCAAAAGCATCTGCTTTAGCCTTGTTCAACCTCTCCCACACATACAGGATCAGACTTCCAACACACATGTCAATGGCAAAGTATGGTCCTATGTAGAAGGGAATGGCCATGGCCATTGGAAGTGGTATGAACCACCCTCTCTTACCCATCAAGTCTTTGATCAAGTTTATCACAACGGCAGAACCAAAGAAAATATAGCAAAGCAGAAGACACTCCTTTGGCAGAGATGAGAAGCCTTCCACCCCCAATTTGGCCATGTTCCGGTACACGACTGCATAAGGAGCAGGGTACTCACTTTTGGGGCTCCCCAGGTCATGAAATGCTTTATAGAAAATCCAGAAAACACATGGAGAGACCACACAGCCCATTGCTGTGCCTATAATTTGGCTCACAAACATAGACCGAGGTGAAGATAATGTGAGGTAGCCAGTCTTGAAATCCTGCATCAAGTCCGAGGCTGTGGAGACTATGTTCATCATTACTCCACACGCAGCGAGGCCTGCAAGAACCCCACCATGTGAGGCTCCAGCCCATGCCCCAATAGTGAATATGGCCAACTTTCCATAGGTGGATGCAAGGGACCAATCGGTTAACCCAGCTCCATAAGCATTGCAGAATGCTAAAGTGGGAGCAAGAAGGTAGATAACCAATATGTAGTACCATTTCAGTTGATGAAAGATGTGTGGAAGTGTGGCTACAGAGACAGCAGCTATTGCAACATAGCCCCCAATAGCATAATATGCCGGTATTTGATCTTTGAGGAAATGTTGGGTGCGGCGCTGTTCATCATAAGAAAGGTGTGAGGTCATGGATGAGTTTTGATCTGCAACAGGAAGTTCATTCTCCCTTTGTCTTTCTCGGACTTGGTTATACATGCCTACGAGGGTATGACTTAGCACCTTAACGAAGTTATACAAACCATCTCCCAGGATCATGGCTATGGCAATAAATACCTGATTCCAAGGGGCAAGACATATTCAATTAATTGGAAGGCCTTAGAAAGCATGTGAACAGCAACAGTGTGTGTATGTTCGGCAGTTCAGAACAGAAAGGGGCAGGGTCTGAAGAGGGGAGAAGGGGAAGAGGGATGGCTAAATGATAATTTTCTTTCCTCTTCTTTAGGAAAATTTCCCTTGAAAAATCTTCCAAGTTCCATGAACTTAAAAATATAAAAAAAGACTTGGAAGATTTTGGAAGTTCATTTGAAAATCCTTCGTGGTAACTTCAAGATAAGGAAAATGTGAAAATGAAATCTCTCTCTCTCTCTCTCTCTCTCTCTCCCCTCCACCCAGGCATACCATAAAGTAAATATCAGCACCAAGAGTGTTTTCCAATAGGAAACTAACCTTATAACCTTGGAGGCCACTTAGGCTAGAATCAGGAAGGTCTGCAGAGTACCATTGGCCTTTTTTGCGTTCTATGAGAGGCCACAGGATTCCCCAAGAAAGAATTCCTCCGAGGAGCACTGATACATTTATAATATATGGGCAAATCATTCCTACTCCAACATAAATTGTGGAGAAATCAAAATAAAACCTGCAAAAAATAAAATCTTAGATTAAACACTTTAATTGAGAGTGCTGCTTATACGAAGCATGTTTTAGTATATTTTATTTATTTTCACATCAAGTTAAATGAGTTTTTCAACGAAAAAAAGGAGATGAAGCCCAAGAGCTTGGTCTAGTAGTTGAAGTAAGCATGTGCTGTGTGGCTCGGTGGATAGATCCTAATTATGCCAAATTTCTTGAGGCCGAGCAGCAAGGGATGATTTCCCTGAGGAAATCCCTCATCTAAGGGTATGTGGCTTGCCTTTGACCAGAGTAAGGAGGTGGATGCGTAATTCAGGTACATGAAGGTTGGCTAGACACCAATTAATCACAATACCACCAAAAAAATTAAAGTGACAACATACTTGTATTTGTATGCTTTGAGCCCCAGTGAAGGGAAGGATTGAAATCCACAGTCATCACTGGCAGTATAGAACCACTGAAAGAAGCCCCATAAGAAACTGAAAGTAAAGAATTTTCCCAATGTTCTCACTTGTTTCCTGAGAGTAAAAAGTAATTAGTCAGGCAGTATAGGTGCATAAATTCTCAAGCCATCACATCTTACAGTGTCTTACTTTGCTAATTTGGCTCCTTCAGGAGTGTGGAAGCTGTTGATAAGATGAGCAGTTGCAGTACCACTCGGATATGTCAATTTGAAGTCAATGATCATAATCTGAAAGCAATATTAGAAACAAAACTGAATCAAGGTTGGGGAAAATAAAATTCTGAAGAGGTAAAGATGATCCATTTCACCAGTAAAGTGTCAGTAAGGCTCCTGCATGTTCTGAAATAAAAAATTTATAATGCAAAACTGACAGAAGTTGATTTATGTTTGATAAAGTCATTTTTAACAATCAGAGGTCAATGGATGATGAAGCTAGTAGCGGAAGAATACATCATACCTTCCTTAGAGGTACAACAGAGAAGAGGCCAAGAAAGCTGACGACAAAGAGAAATCCAATAATCCATCCTAATGATGGGTTTTTGAAGTCACTCTTGTCTGAGGATAGGTTGGCTATTCGTTCACTCATTCCAAAGAGGTAGCTCCCAAAACCACCTGTTGATAAAAAGTGAACAACAACATTTAGTGCAAATGATATATGCAACGTTTTGCAGATATTTAGAGCAAGAATTTTTCAGTTCTTAAGTTACAAACATTTGACCTTGGATTAAACAGGTCAAATACTTCATTCCAGTTTGAGATATAAATCAAACAAGATCGAGGAAAAAAATCAACTATGCAAGAAGAAATCAGAAAACTAGAGCTCCTATGAAGCAAGGCAAAAGAAGAAAATTACTGTTTTGATGACAGTTATACCCCTACCCAAAATCATTAATTATTGCAATTACCTCTAACCATGTTTCCGTACCTTCCTAAATATGTCTTTTTTTAGTTATTTGACAACAGAAAGTAGTATTTTTTAAGAGATTTGCGAAACAATAATATTGATAAAAGCGCTTATCAAATGATTTTTCCAAATGGAAATTGTTTCTTCCTCATAATGCCTATGAAACTCCAGTAGAAGAAAGAGTCATTTCAAAACATGCAAAATTCACAAAAATCTCAAATGGGCCCTAACTCTTGATAAACTGTGCCGGCTGCTTTATTTATGAAAATTAATGGTAAATAACAGTGAATAGAACATGAGGGGGGGAAGTTAAGTTCTCTCAAATGATTTCAACAGTTAGAGCATAATTTTCTTAAGTTCTTCCACTTGGCATGTGTTGAAAACCAAAAATAGCTGTCTCTTTCAATGCATAGACCAAAATTTATGGTTGTGATCCTATAGCTATTCTAAGGTTCTAGAAGATAACCTGATAGTGACAAACACAGCAATCCTTGACTCAAGAGATAGTGAGTTGTATCTAACCCGGAAAATTCCACCCATTTATTCAAACACAGGAAAGACTCTAAACTTTCTCCGAGAATCGTCATCTTCATTTATAAAAATAATATCATGCCAGAATTTTGGGGATCTCTATGTAATCATATCAAAAGTTTTTTTTTTTTTGGGGGGGGGGACAATAGAGTAATCGGATCAAAATTGAGGTCAATACTCAATACCGCAAACTATGCTGAGCCCAAGTCATCCATATCCCCCTTATTTCAAAATATAATAGAATGAGAAAACGGTGCAAATCCAAATATATTAGTTTAAGATTTACCTGCAATGTTAACTGCTTAGAAACATAGTTTCTGGGTCAATCACAGATCAAAGCTTAGCTCCACAAACAATGAAGGTTAATGTCACTTCCCAATGATACAAATCCGAATGATAACTTTTGAGATTCACTTGCCATGTTCGATATTAAGAAGCATAATTTATAAATTACACACAGATCAAAATTCAATTCCTAAAATGGAGAAGGAAATTGTCACTTCAATAGGGTACAGATCCAGATATGAATCTGATGATCAGATTTCAAATTCAAAATAGTGAAGGTGATTGCAACTTAAAAAGCAAACCCCTCTAAACCTTAAATTGAGATTCATTTCCACAGCAAAGAAGCATAGTTTCAAAGATTAACCACATTTGAAATTCCAATTCCGCAGGTAACAAGCATAGAGTTAGAGAAGGTACCACTAAAGGCTATGCCAGAGGAAGCAACGACACATGTCTGAATGACAGTGTTCTCCTGTCTCGTAAACGGCTGCCTCAACATGCCAGATTTATCCAAGAATTTGGTCCAAGTTTTGACGAAGAAGAAACCCAGAAGGCCAGCAGAGACGTTGAGGGAAGGTATAATCCCGGTGGTGAGATTCAGTTTCATTACTATGAAACTGAACAGCACGCTCAGCAAAAGGCTCACCACAAGAGCTCTTATTGTCAGCTGATTCCTCCATGGCGGCACCTCTCGACTCAGGAACAACCTCTCCACAGAAATATCTTCTCCTTTAAGCCTCGAGTCCTTCTGGTTTGGATTCTGCACTTCCTCATCTTCTCCGGCAACCCCTTTTTCCACCCTATCCCCACTTCCTCTTTGAGCCATTTCGAGAGAGTATGGAGGTTGGAATCCAAGAGTTGAGGAAAACGACGTTCGGAATCCTTTAAGGGTGTGGATCAATGTATATCTTACTAGATCCTAATGACAACAATTAAAGATTTTATGACCAAAACAACAACTAAAGTTGCTCCATTTTCACGAGGAAAAAGTTGGCCGTGCAGTGAGGGTAGATTCATTGAGTAATTATTGTTACTGACATTTTATAGATAAATGTCGGCGTCAGCAAGAGGATGGATAATTAAAGAGATCGCGCGTTGTGAGTGACGTGAACGTGATACGGAAACGTTCTTTTTGTCGAGCGTGGGACCATCGCTTACATCTCACAAATTCGTGGGTTGGAAACTTGATGTTCTCTTTCTTTCTTTGGCTTTTTTTTTTTTAACAATAATTTGGAATCATTATGATATTATCTAATATTTTTTCTTATCCATCTTCTAATTATTTTCAATTACTGCTCTTATTTATGAGACAGAGATGAAAAAAAATTTAGTCCTATATCTTCAGGGCACATTATTAACTTTTATCATAATTATTTTATTTTTTGCTTTCATCGTAAATTTTTTTATCCCCTTAATAAAAAATACATTATTAAAGTATATATATATTTAATAGGGATAAAGTTAAAAATTTATTAAATTTTAAGATATAGTTAATAAATTTTATTAAACTTATTAAATTTGACCAAAAAAAGAAAATTAGTGAATTTTAAAGTTTTTTTTAATTATGATAAAATATATTAAAAATTACTTATAAATATGGTTAGATTAATATAAAGCAAAGAAGGTTTAAACTGTTAAATTATTGAATTTTATAACATAATGAATATATTTCTTATTTATTATATTAAAATTTTACATTATGCTAATCACTTCTTAATTACATAATGTTAAACTATTAAATTATTACATTTTAACATTATATTAAACTTTATTAATATTTAGTACCTGACGATCCTTTGAACTTGATTGTTTTTAGTAGAAAGATACATATACATCATCAAAAAGTGAGTCATTGTCTACTCCTTTTCAATTCTCTCTCCACTTAAAGCACTTAACTATTGAGAAATTCCAAATTCAATGTTCATTGTATTTGTTAAGAAACTCTTCATTCAATGTAAATAAATTACTGTTTGTGTTATTTGATTGATCTCAATTAATTACTCCCCCTAGTCTTATTACACTTTCAACTATTTCATGTATTTTAAAAAAATTTAGTTTTTTTGATATTATAAAAAAATAATACATAATTTTATTTTTACCATTGACTTTAAATAATAATATAACTATATTAAATATCTTTATGCTAATAAAAAAATAATAAAATTAAAAAATTAATTAATTATTATAATATATACTATATTTTGGATTAAAAATTATTTTTAAAAAGTGTTTTATAAATAAGACTGAAAAGAGTACATTGCAAGTGTGGTTTTACATAAAATTTAAGATAAATTGTACAGACTATTGTGACTTTTTATATATCTTACATAAATTTCAATTATATGTATTATATATATCTATATACATAACATTTTAATAATTTAAAATTTTATAATTTATTGATAAATACATTTGTTGATATAATTTTTTTTACAATTTATTGATATACAATAATAACAATTTTATAACCTCAAAAAATAGCAGGGCTGAGCTAATCACGGTTTGGATTTTGCTTCGTTGGAGTCTCAGTTCAATTTTCAGTGTTAGAGTTAAGATATTTTTCAATTATGGACTTCAAATAATTAATGTTTGGTGAACTGGACTATTTTTTAAAATTTCATCTAGGACTCTATGAACATTTTTTCGATAAAAGAAAATAATAAAATGCATTTAATCTTTGGCAAAGTGACAATTAAGGCTAGTAAAAAAAAAGGATATTGAACAATTTTATTTCAAAAAAATGACAATAAAATCTCTCTAAAATATATGAATGATAATTTAATCCCTCAAAATATCATAATTTTTTTAAAATTTCTAAAGACTTTTCTATTATCAATGAATTTATATAAATTATCGAATTGCCCTTATTAAAAATAAATGATTCGCAAATTTTGTTTAAATATTCACAACTTTCCTTCTTATATTTGCAATAACACAACAGCAAATAAAAAATTTAACATGCAAAGTTGTGATTTGTTGTTGTATTTTTGTGAATATAAGAGAAAAAGTTGTGAATATTTAAACAAAAATTGTGACTCATTTATTTTTAATAAGGGCAATTTGATAATTTATATAAATTCATTGATCTTAGAAAAGTCTCTAGGGACTTCAAGAAAATTATGACATTTTGAGAAATCAAATTGTCATTTACATATTTTAGAGAAATTTTATTATTATTTTCCCTTTTATTTTCTATATTAAATATTAAATAAAAATGAAAGAATAATTCTTAAAACGAAAATAATATGTACTATCCTCTTGTTTTTTTTTCACTTCTCACATTCTAAAATGTTTTTATTTTTCTCTTTATATAAGGCATTTTTTTGTGATTTTTTATGTGCAATTTTAAAACTACCCTTCAGTAAATTCTAAAAAAATACAATATGTTAAATTCTTTAAAAAAATTCACATATCAAATAATTATTTTTAAATTAAAAAAATTAAAAAATAATTTTTATAAATAAATTTATTATTTTAACTAATTCATTTTAATTTTAATGAATTAACTAAAGGTCATTTATAAATATTCAGGTCAGAGAAATTGACTTTAACATTTCATTTAACTTTTTGTTTCCGGAAAAGTAGACCATAGATTCCACGGGACGATGAGAAATTTTTGGAGGATTGGCAAGTTGACTGGGCGGAATTGGACTGTGGTTTTTTTTTTTTTTTTCCTTTTGTAAAATTTTTATTTGAATACGCAATAATCTCCAACTTTGAAGACAACTCATGGAAAGCACGCGATGTTTCAATTAGGAATGCTTAAAAAAATAGTCCCTTCATTTTAAATTATAAAACAATGTAAAATAAAATTATATATACAAATAAAATATAATAATAATATTTTATCAACTTAATTTCTTAAAAAATAAAATTATAAATTTTTAAAAATACTCATACACAGTTAATCATTAGGCTTTAGTTCTCTTTTCACTTAAAAAATAATATTAAAAAATATTATTAAAGAAACTTTAATTTTTTTAAATTATCTTATATTTAAGGATAAAAAATTTCTCAACATTATTTTATAATTTGCAAGGAGGGAGTAATATAAATCACTGATATTTCCTAAATGTTTATAGTTATTATATGATTCATTGAAAATATTAAGAATCAGAATGTCCAAAACTTTATTTTTTTACGATAAAACAAAAGTTGCTTCAATTATTTTCGTTGTAAATTATTATCTTTTTTAAAATTTACTATATTTCGATAATTAAAAAGAAAAAGTTATAACTTATAATATGAATTCCTTAAAATTATCAAAGAAAAATCATTCTCATTACTAGAATTCTTGTTTTGTTATCAACACCAGATGCTTTGAGGAGCCATCAAATTAACAGAGCATTTTTGGTTTTTTTTTTTTTCGGGCCTGCATTGAATTAAATTAATAGAGTTGATAAGAGATTCATTGTCAAGAGGACCTACGAGCTACAATTTTTTACTGTTTAAAATTTTTTTATAACATGTTTCTTTACAATCAAAGAACTTTACAATTTATTAACTTTATTTAAAAATTTAATTTATTTTTAATTTTATTCTTATTAAATATACATACTTTAATTAATAATGCATTTTATCTCACCAATATTTGATAGAAAGTAAATAAAGAAGTTTGTGTTAAAAATTTAATAATATAACTTATAAATGAAATAAAAAAAATCTTTCATTATCTTATTAGTGGGATTGAAAAAAAAAAAAACCAAGTATATTGTCTTACTATGTGTTTTGAACATTCTACATGAATGTGTGTGTGTGTGTTTTAGTATTTATTCTGTAATTTTCAAAACATTCAATTCTATATTTTTACTTTTTAATGAGTTGTTAATCATACATATAAATAAATTATACCTATATGCGGGGCCATCCTTGCAGTTATAATTTTAGGATTGTCATGCTTGATATGTATATTCATACGTGTGATATTTGAGGGAACAGCAGGGGAGATGAAATTTCTATCATTTTTTTTATGATCAAAAGAAATTGAGTAATTTGAAATTTAGTAAATTATTTAAACTTAATTCATGTAGATTAAAAGCACAATCTGTACACGTGTAAAGATAAGGCCCACTAAATTTGTGGATAAAGACATATATGAAGCTAATTGAGTTAAGTGCAAGTGTAAAGTGGGCGTGAAAGGGTTTTTGTTTTTCGTTTTTGTGGACAAAAGGTGCGAAAGGGTTTTGGAATAATGGACCAACTACATAGAGACACAAAAATGGGACAAGTCATCCTCGTCATCTTTGTCTGCGTTTCTCTCAAATTTGATTATAGTTTTATTTATTTTTAGTATATACGAAAAAATCCTTTTAAAAAAATTGAAAATGCATTAAAAAAATTAACCAAATATATTTATTTAGAGCCGTCAACAGGCCGGTCTTTTAAGCCCAAAAAAATATAGGGCGGACCTTTACTTTAAAGTGTAAAATAATAATTCAAACTTAAGAGGTTTGGTCCTTTTAAGCCCTATTATAATTTTTTTAAAAAATTTAATATTAAAAAATTAAATACTTATTCTAATTTTAAAATCGTAACCCCATTTCATGGGGATAAAGAAGAAAAATATGAAAATTTTAATATCTTTGTCATTGTCAAGGCTCCACAAAAAGAAAGATAAAATTATATTGATTTTGATCACAATGAAAATTATCAAAATTTCATTGATAATGGTAGCAAAATCTAATTGTTCTCAGTGTTCATTTTGTGATTTATTTTTTATTAGACTTAAATTTATTTTTATAGATTTAATGTTATGTGCAATATCTTTTTTAAATTTTTAAATATGTTTTGTAGATTTTTAAATTAATATATATATATATATATATATATATGTATGTATGTATGTATGTATGTATGTATGTATGCATGCATGAATGAATGAATGTATGTATGTATGGCCAAGGCTTTAAGAGTCAGGGCTGAGTTGACCAAAATAGAGCCTTGAGAGATAATTGAACTTTATAGGGCCAGCCCATTTAAGCCCTGACCTTTCAAGGGTTGGCCTTTTAGAGTTAG